AAGTGCATGCTGATTTTAGGATGTAAAGGGTTAATTTCCACCAACGGACAATAAACTGATCTAATATCATCACCAGGCTGCAATTGTTTGAAGAGTGGAGAATGCTACTGATCTAATATTTGTAAAGTGCTCCTCACTGATCCCATTACTTCCATAAGTGATCAAGACTGAGACTTTCTTCTTATAATATCAATACAATATCAAGCACACAAGTGATGAGAAAAGAGCAAAATATAAATTTGGGAACTATTGGTTGACCCAATACCAAATTCTCTCAACTAACTTCATAAGAATTGTATTGCAGACAGTAAGGAGAGTTTGTTACAGGATCTTAAGAATAGAAGGATTAAGAAATATGAAAAACTCTATTTTTCAGTGGCATCTACAATTTTCAAGGAAGTCAAATTTCATTCCAAGCTCTACTATGCAATGTGAAAGCCAGAGTATGTGTCTAGTGCCAGAGAATTGGTAAGCATATTCAATTGGATGAGAAGACAAAGTCAAGGAGAGGAAAGGGGTGCCTTGTTTCAAATTTTTTTTCAATAACAGCTATCATTCATGTGTTTATTTATGGGATGGATCTACTGTATTTCCTAAACTACTGCGCACTACTAAAAGACCGGTCCATTAAGGGTGCTGCCCCAAATAGGAGATATTAAAGAAACAAAGGAGAAGGGCATTAGACATCATTCTGCATACTGAAGCCGTAAATTTAACTCCAACCATTGTAAAATATATGTGGAAGAAAGGAAATGCTTTCACGATAAAGAAACCAATGAAATACCAAGGGAGGTTTTGCACAAGAACATGATACCTTCACAAATTAAGATAACATGTTATCTCCACACTTGAAAAGATCCCCCTTTTTTACGGGGAAACCAAATTTCTTTCCTCCATTGAAAAAAATTGAGCAAAATTTCATATCTCCCCCACCCCCCTGCCATGTATTATCTACCAATGTTAAAGAAGGGAGGGGAGGGGAGGGGAGTTAAGGATAAGCCAGTAGCTCTGTATAGCTGTTCAGCAAATTTGGTTCCAAAGTGCCTTGAAATGCCTGTCACTTTTCTACCTTCTCTTGATTGGTTGGATGGCGTAAGGCTAGCACATAGTAACAGTGAACCAAAGAATGCTATTCTTGCAAGACCACAGAGATGCATTGTTATGCTCAAGCTAGTGTCAACGAGTTAAGAGAGCTAATGAAAGAGTTCACTGGACTCAGTGTTATAAAGTAACTCTAAACACAAGAGTTGTTAGTCTGGTTGGTTATGTGTTATAATTGTTGCTGTTATTGCAAAGAAAAGGACCAAACACCACATTAATAGAGAAAATATTTCCATCAAAATTAATTCATCAAAACCAATTTAAGCAAGGATGATGCAAAAGATGCTACAGCAGTTTATTCACAGAAAAGCATTTAGAGTTTTGTGCCATGAAAGAGGGTTGGGGAAAGGTACTTCCAGTAGTGCTACTAACAAACACTAACACAACTGCATTAAACTTAACACTAGCAAACAAGCTAGCCAAAGCACCATCAAAGAAGTAATGATAAGAAGGATTTGATGAAAATGTGGACAAGATAACTTTCATCTTGGAAAGTCCAAGACAACTTTGGACACCAAAAATATAACATTGGCAATGCTAACACTGTACAGCCATCCAAAACCACTGGCAAACATTGAACTAACAAGCTTACTAGGGCTGGTTAATCCAACAGTTTCAAAATATTATACAAATGCCAGCAATCAATCAAGAGAAGATACAAAAAATGACAGACAATCTTTTACATTCAAACATCTTTTTTTATTTGAAAGGTTTGACAGCACTTTTCCTCAACAAAAGCACCAAAATTCATACATTTCCATGGTTGGTTCCCTGCATTTAAATTCAATAATTTTGGCAAATGCTTTCCATAAATAACTGCCTACAATGTCTAGTAACTTATTAATTTTGTAAATCTCTTTTACAGGGAATTCCTTGATAAGAAAGAAGGAAATTTTTGAACCACCCTTCCATAATTTTTTTACTGGAAAACTGACAACTAAATAAGTACGCCTTACCTTTTAGAAACATGTTTTACACTTGGGAACAAATGGTCTGTGATTTCTTTGAGAACTAATTTGTTTGATTTTTATCAGCAGGGAGTCTGCAAATTTGTAAGGTTATTCTCACAGGACATTCTCCCTCATAACAAGCCAATTTCCTACCAAAGTCAATTTCTCCTTGCACTTTTTCTAGAGCTACTGCAACTACTACTTCTACTGCTTGCTCTAGATGAAGTTCGACTGGTACTGCGACTGTTCCTGACAGCCGCTTGAGCCTCATTACTTTGTGTTTCTGATTTCAAGTTCTTTTTGGCTCGTTTAGACAATAGGGAATTTTTTCCAGAACACTTGCTATTTGCTTTTGATCTACGCAATTTTGATTTATTCTTTTTAACCTGCAAGGATTCCTCTCGTGTGTATGTGTACAAGATTTCATCCTCCTCTTCAGCAGCTCTTTTTTCTTCCTCCTTCTTCAAAGCTTGCAGATGGCCAAGCTCCCAGTCCTTCTTTGCCATTTCCACTTCATCCTGTCAATTGCAAGTTTGGACATAAAGAATACACAATAATCTTTTATTTCTGAACAACACTCCAAGTTGCAACCATTTTGTCCCTGTGGCAACTAGAACAATTTTGGGAACTAAATTTGTAGTTTCAGGAGTTTTATTTAAAGCTTGTTACTGTTGGTCTGCTGTCATGTATAAGACCTTTAACTGCCATCTGTTTAGCTTGTGAGCAGGCTCTCATTTTTGGGTGTCACCTGCTCACTTCTGGACACAGCTGCCTATAACACCATCTACATCCACATCCACTAATGAAAAAAGCTACTGAAACCCTGGGGTGGAGGTCCCCAATTTTGTACCTGTGTTTGGTTGTCACATCATTGCATCTTAGTGTTTATCATTTGAAGTTTAAGTGAGACAGCTTACCTTAGCTGCTTTGATTTGTTCCAGCGTAATGTAAGCACCAGATGATTCCAAGAACCGAATTGCATATCTTTCCACAGCAGTCATCTTTAGAAAGAATTCAAGAGAATATTAAAATAAACAATAATTCCTACAGTGAGGACTGAAAAATCGTACTGGAAAATGTAAGGTAAAGTTTGCTTGCTTTGCATTTGTTTTTTTGTTAATTTGTTACTTCTTTTGTGAGATTGGGAGAGCACATTGAAATCTGTTCCTCACCTGGCTCTCCAGAGCAGACAGTTCTTCCTCTACTTTGGACTGCTCTTCTTCCTAAAGCAATAAAAAACTTTCCTTAGTTTTCTCTTCTTTTACCTGGAATTAAATTAGAAAGTTAGTTGTCCAGATGCTGGGGACTCGTGCTGCAGACTGCTCTTGAGAGTGGGAACAATGTGCTCCTGCTTGCTCTGACAAAGAGATCACACTTTGACTTTCACCTTTGCAAAAATTATAAGAGCTAGTAATTTGCCCTTATAGAATTCACAACTGATACCCAAGTGTTATGCTTGCCTGCCAAAATGGTAGAACAATATTTCAAGAAGCCAGTTTATAATATCATTTCATTGTAGATATCAAATGTCTTAAGCCAACTGAATCACTAGTCACAAAGCCATGCACCGTTACTGTACTTTAGTTGTGGTAATTTAAAGAGAATGAATCTTACAAACAAACCTTTCCATCTTCACTCAGGGGAATTCCTTCATCAAATTCTGCTAATTCTGCAGCCTCTTCAGCCTTCGCTCTTGTAGCAGCACAAGCATCCTGTTCATCTTCTGCTTTAAACAATGCCTGCAAGATGGTGTAACAAAGCAATGTAACCTAAACTGACTTCATACATGTAAACAAAGCACATGTATTCTATGTACCTGCTCCAGCAAGTTCTGTGACACTTTTCCAGCTCCAGTCTTGGTGCTACCAACTTCTGCAGTTGTCTCAGACTCTTCTTGAGATTCTTGTGTCACAACTTCGTCAATGGGCTCTGTCTTAGTAATACTAGGCTGAGTGTTAGTAGCTTCAGTAGATGGTTCAATGGTGAAGAGATCCTTTAGTGTAGTCTGCACAATGAAGAATATAAAATTCAACATGAAACACAATTCATACAACTCTTCTATCAGTTGAGAGGTTTATACTTTTTCATCCTTATAAAATTCCATGACTTTCCACAAACTTCTTTGTGACTGTTGTTATGACCCAGGTATAACTAGTTTTGTTGTTTGGGCAGAAAGTCATTCTCTGCCATTTCTGATGACTTTTCAATACAAAAACTCAAGTTCAATGACTTTCCAAGCCTGGAAAATGACACAAAAAATTCCATAAACTTCCGAGTTTCCTGTAACCCAGTTAAACCCTACGGGTAGCTCTGGGAACTTGGCATCATATCAAGGCTATATGTCATGTTTGTGTTGGGAATGTTCACTGACAGTTTCAATCAAGCATACTTTCAGGGAAGCTCCATTACCACATCCTGTGTTAGGCCCAGGTATTTGTAAATTTGACTCTGATAAAAAAGTGACCAAGAGAGTATTTCTCTGTATTATATCAATACAATCAAGTCAAGCAGAAAAGTGTTGAGAATAAAGAAAAATATCAATAGGGGGATTATTAATGGATCCGATACCAAATTCTCCAAACTAACATCTCAAGAATTGTATAGCAGACAGTAGAGAGAATTACTAGTGACACCTTGAGATTGGAAGGGTTAAATAACCCTGTGGACAGTTTGAAAAAAGTTACAAAACAATAACACACTCAGGAACAGTATCTAGACCTACTTCTTTAAAAAAGGCAGTGGTAAAGTTTCCACCCTCAATAGCAATATCACCCAGCATTCTTTTCTGATTGGCCTTCTTCAGGATGTTTTCCTCTATTGTCCTCTCACTAATCAGTCTGTAGATGTGGACATCTCTGGTTTGACCAATGCGATGACATCTGTCTTGTGCTTGGGCATCCATTGTAGGATTCCAGTCACTGTCATAAAAGATGACCGTGTCTGCACCAGTAAGATTGACACCTAGTCCGCCACTGCGTGTGGAGAGGATGAAGCAGAAGATGCGAGTATCAGCATTGAAGCGCTCCATCAAGACCTGTCTTTGCTCCACCCTTGTTGTGCCATCAAGCCTCAGGTAGATGTAACCATGGTAATTTAAAAAGCTCTCTAGAACATCTAGCATCTTGGTCATTTGGGTAAATATCAGTGCCCTGTGAACATCAAGTTGAAATGCAACTATAAGCATCATATTAAATGTCTAAAACAAAAGCCAAATATCAACTTTTATTTGCTTCATAAATCACAAAGAACAAGTTCTGGACTGTGATAAAGTTACATTGCATTACAGAACCTGTCACATCACCACTGACAGATTGGTTTTTACAAAGTAGTAGACTATACTACACATGTTGGCAAGATAAATTTATATTCTTTTTACCTGTGCTTTCCAACTTTTAGTCTTCTCAGCAGCAGATCAAGAGTTTGAAGTTTACCTGCGGCAAACAAATTGCACTCATGGATCTTATGCACTGGTTCAAATCAATACAAACAATTCAAGGTGCTAATAAACAAGAGCTACAATTTAAGAATCCCTTGCTCTTGTTTAGATGTACATGTCCTTACCACAATCATACTGAATAAGACGCACTTCTGGAAACTGCATCTTCAAGCCCCGAGCAATTGGATGCATGAATGACGTCTTGGGCAGCAGTTCACCATGAAGAGTTTCCTCAAGGTTTTGCATCTTTGACAAGTAGGAGGGGGGAGGGTGGGATGTATGTAGTTTGATGGGAGGAGCTTCCACAGATGGTATAGCAAACACAAACCTGACAAAAAAGAATAAGTGGTTGAATAACCTCTGGCAGCATTTTACCACAGAAGTCTAACTATTTCTGCAGTTCATAATAAAGTTGACAGCTCAGAACTTCTATATTATCAGGGTCAATCAAAAACACGGACCTTGAAGTATAGTACTCATCATAATTATGCTGTTCCTTGATCTGACATATTTTTCTTGAATAAATTAAAGAATAGTTTTGAGATCATGATTTTTTCACTTATGTTTTTTTTTTTGTTTTTAATTTCTAATTTTTGCTGAAACTGTCTGAGAATTCCTCAGATTCCTCAACAGCAAGTACTAAACAATAAACTGCTTGAAAACACAATAAAAAAATTAATCAGAAAAGTATCCTTTTACCTAGTAATCTAGATTTTTTTTCAAGACAGCTTTGAAATAATTCTGGTGTTATAATATTGGTGAGCCAAAAAAATGAAAACACACATGGAATTTTACCTGCTAAAAATATCCTTCATTTCTGTCACTCGATCTACTGGAGTTTTCAACATGTTTGTTAAATATTCAGAATGTTTAACTGTACTCCACACATCCTTAACTATAGACACGGCCTGCACCAAATCTGGTCCATAGACTGGTTGTGCTTGAGAATGACGACTGTTGACCCGTACAATGCGCACAAGCTTCTGCTTTCTTTCCTTGAGCCTTTTCTCAGCAAGATTCTCCTGGGAAGGCAAATTTAACAAAGTCAATTCCAGTTCTAACTTTTTCTTTTCTTTAGTAACTAAAACTGTTCTTTCAATCTTTGTCAGCTCAGAACTTCAAGTTCTATCACAGATTTACTCTCAACAACACGGACCTGAAGTTTCACTCATCACACGCTGACAAGAAACCACTAGTCACTCCCCTTTGTTCAACCTCACCACTGCTGCATGGAAGTGACTAGCATCTAATTTCTCTTTACAATATTACACCTGAAAAACACATTAGGGTCAAAAGAATAAAGGAAAGACTGCCAACAACTTCCATAACAGTACCATAAGAAATGTATGATGGACAAGATTTGTCTAAAAGATTTTCAGGTAAAATCAGATATCAGAATCAGTGCCTTTCATTCCATTTAGGGTTGTGAAAAGTGCTTCCACACTGGAAGAGCCCCTTCATAGCAAAGACTAGCTTTGACATTAAAACATACCAAGAAAAATGGTGAATCTTTGTTAGCCTGGGTGACAGCAGGAAGTGTTGTTTTACTTTCTAGGGCAATTCTCTTTGTTGGAGACACTGGTTTGGGTTCAGGATGAGGAAGGGGAAGTCTACTAGCTACACCATCTTGAACAGTTTGCCCTACTGGTGCTCGATTCTGAGCTGCTGGAAAGCTTGCAATACCAGGGACAGATGGATGTGACTCTACAGCAACACCAGTAGCAGAAGGAACTGAAGCTGACCAGGGTGACTGCCCTACTGCCATATGCTGACGCTGAGGTTCATAGCCTGCTCCAGGTCCTGGATAGGGTGGAGGAGGGGGCATTTCCCTTCCATATCCAGACAAAAGTATCCTAGATGCAGGAAAGCCGGTAGGGACACCAGCACTGTGCCGTGTTGAGTGGCTGTGAGGCTGTTGTCCTTCAGGAGTCCCAGGCGGCATTCTTCCAGGTAATAATCCACCAAAACCTGGGCGTTGTGGATGGTCTTGAGACCGCCCTGGAGGAATGCCATATGGAATAGCACCGGGAGTGTATGGTGGATGCACTCTGTGTTGTTGATGAGCAGAGTAAGGAGGAGGGGGAACATGTGGCATGTGCTGTCCACTTGGATGAATACTGTTAGATATCTCTGTCTTGACACCACTTAATGGAAGCACAGGATGGCCAGAAAATGAAATCCTGCGAGGTTTTGCCAGAGGGACCAGCCGCCTGACTGGTTCAGGGTGGGAGTCTATTTCTATAATCATTTTTGCAGGTGTTTGAAGAGTTTGTGAACGAAAAGCTGCATAGCTTGTCACTGTTCTTTCAATGTCTGCTACACACAAGTTCAAGTAACCAAAGCTGACATGCTTGAGGGGGTTATAATCCAGAGCTCTAAGCACTAATGATGCAGTGTAGAACTCAATGCCTTCCATGTAGAATGGTGAAACTGTTGGTCTTGGTTCAAACAAGTCAGGATGATTACAAACCTGAAAGAGTATGTGGCACAAAGTATCAGTAAGTAACAAGGGAACTTCATGTGAGAGCAAAAATAAAGTACAGCTTTGTGTACATGCTTTTGATGCCACAATTGGCTTGTCTTTGTGAAAGTAATCCTGAAGAGGAATTTTTGTGGGTGATGTTTGAAGACATCATTAGAGTCAAGTGCCTCTGTGATCAAATAACTCTAACAATGACTTCCATACAAGTTGTCAATACAAGGCTGTGTGTCTGTCAGAAACACTGGCCACAGTCCTTTTAAGACTACATACCATACCCTGCATGATCAACTGATACCCCCCACTAATAAATGGTTTAATAAAATAGATATTTATTTAATTTATTTTGTTGGACATTTTATAGTAAAATGTTTGTTACCTTTCTCAGCTGCATGAGAATATTAATAACACTGAGAAAGTGACCAGACTCTAAGGTTTCCTTTGTCCTGAAACAAAGTGAACAAAACATAATTTACAATGATTCCCTAATCACAAGACAAAGTGCTGCACGTCACTACTCAATAAACATCTGTAACAATGTTGTTCCCAACAGGAACAATTGAGTTGTAAAGTGTACATGTCAGAGGGTTTTATAGCAGCTTCTTCTCTTGGCCGTAAGTGACAAAATCTAATAGTTAGCAGTGAACCTTGGCTCAAAAACAGTTGTCCATGTACAGATCTTAAATCCACAATCAAATCAAAGTATTCATTCCACTCATAGAAAATACAAGCAACAGTCCAACTCTTGCCACAATTAACACTTGTAAGTAAACTGGAAGGAAAATCAGTAGCAGAAAGTTAGGCCATGGCTCCACAGCACTTCAACCCATGTATTTCAGATGTCAGACACAGACATTTAAAAATTTAACTCCCAAGATCTGATTGTTAGTCACCCCCTCTGACTGCTTCAACTTTTCTTTGTAAATCAGTTACAAGAATTTGGTGTTAGATAGTGTCCACAACTTCTACCTGATAAATGAGAGTATTCCCATTACCTATTTGTTGGATAATGCATGGATAATATATAGAGAGAAATTAAATGTTAACCACCTCTAAAGTTAAAGTAGAAACCTAAATTCTTCTTTCAATTAAACTTTTAGCAGAACTTTCAGTCACAGTTCAAAATTTGCAGGACAAGATAATTCTTCATTACCTAAAGGTCTTGTGGGCAAAGGTTTCTTTTTTTTATTTTCATTACAGAACTCACTTAGTCCTGGACATGAAGTCATCATAGAGATAGCGCTGTCTCTTAGACAAGCGGCAGCGGATCAAGTGTTCATATTTCTTGGGCATCTGGGTTTCTACCTCCAGCTTCAGTCTTCTCAGCAAAAAGGGTCTTAGAACCTATAAATGTTAATGGAGAACCAATACATCAAGTCCACAGTACTACAAACACACACCATACACAAAACACAGGTACTCCTGTGGTGAAGAGTATGTACCTCTCGACAGGAACCACTGAATGGTTGAGTGTTACCTTTCAGTGGGTTTTAGAAGAGTATCATGCTCTTGGCCAAGCGAAATTATCACATAACAACCACTGCTATGCAATATTGGATTGGATGGCCCCTTACTAATAACAAGTGTACATCAAAACACACAAAAAGATCTGGCTGCATGGTAATAAGTAATCTTTTGTACTTGGATAATCAACTGACAAAAATCTACAGTACTGCTTAAAAGTAAGTGGACAGCCCTTCAATCCTTGATTCCCTGCTCTTAAGCCTCAATTCTCAGTCCTTGATTTTCACTTCTTCATTCTCGTAACCCTTCAACTCCTTGATCAAATTTGTTATTCCCCTTACTGTCAACCATACAATTCTTATATTGTCAGTTCAGATAATTTAGTATTGGATCAACTAATTATCCCCAAATTAATATTTTTCTTTATTCTCATCACTTATCTGGTTGATATTGTATTGATATTGTAAGGAGAAATTCTGTGTTGGTCACTCACGAGAGTTAAAGGGTTAAGTTTTGAGGATCCAAAATTGAGTTTGCATCTAGACTATCAATTTACTTTTGAGTAGCACTGTACAAATAGAGACAACTATTAACAATACATTGAAAGCACTGATATTTCTGAGTACAATACTCTCATGTGGTGCAAATGAATGATTTCTCATTAGAAAAGTGAAACCTTGCACATTGTTTCCCCACAGTTCTTAACCAGTCAAAAAGCACTGGAAGCATTCGCATTCACATCTTGCAACTGTCTTTAGTTTCAAGGCATCTATGCTTAAGCTTGTCTATCACAGTTCATGTACACCAGAAGTATTTGCATTTATGCCAGGTTGCCACCCGTGGCTTCAAAGTACCTAACCTTAAGCCTACAAATGACAGTTTAGGGAGACCAACCTTATGAAGCCTTTTGATAAGTCCTTCATTGTACTCCCTACTCCCTTCAATCATGCCAGACAGAGGATTTGAAAACCATTCTTTGAAATCTTTGTGAGACTGGAAAACGTGTGGCATTAGGAAGTGCATAAGTGACCAAAGCTCCATCAAACTGTTCTGAAGGGGAGTCCCTGTCAAGAGTAGTCTGCAGTGGCTATTGAAGTTAAGGAGATACTGCCACCTTTGGGACTTGAAGTTCTTGATGTTTTGAGCCTAAACCAGGATTACCATGAATTCAACAAACAATAAGTTAAAACATCAAACAGTAAATGGTTTGAACTCAGGAGTAGCATTGGATTTTGTAGTCTGATTATTTAGGGTTGAAGAAACATCAGTCACCACTACCAACAACAGTCCTTCTCAGGACTACTCTCACCCCAACAACCAGACTACACAATCAGCTATTTAATGCTGTTTGGATGCAACAAACAACAATGACAGTCTTCATGGATAAAGGAAAATCAAACTAAGGTTTACATATTAATCACCTCATCTAGAATGAAGTATTTCCACTTCTTTCTGCGGAAAGCCTGATGATCTTGAATGACCAGCTTGTATGATGTGATACAAACATGAAAAGCATTTGGTTTTGTCCAACCCTGAAGCAATAAAAAGTTTTTGTAATCATATTTGTATTAAATGGTATATCACATAAAATGAGAAGTACTGAAACTTTATCTCTGCTTCTTGATCCTAGTGAATTCCTCTACAGAAAATAAAAACCTCTGTGAACTCAAATTAGTATACTGTGCATGAGGGATCTCCTTAGCAAATGCAGAACCAAATTAGTGCAATCAATTTTTCTTTTAAGGAATGGATATACAAAGACATTGACAAACACACCTGTCTCTTAGCTTTCCTCTCCTTTTGATTGCCATAATAAGTCAAGATTTTGAATCCAGGACACCATTTCTTGAACTCCAATTCCCAGTTCAGCATCACAGATGTGGGAACCACAACCAAGTGAGGACCCCAAACACATTTCTCACAAGCTAGGTGGGCAAGCAGTGCAATCGTTTGGATAGTCTTTCCCAAACCCATCTCATCTGCAAGGATACCATTAAGGTGCTTTTCATGCATAGTCACCAGCCAGTCTAGGCCGATTAGCTGATATTCTCTAAGAACACCTCGCAGCAGGAATGGCACTTTGGTTTTAATCTGAAACAAGAAGTCCAAAAAGCAGTATAGGCAGGTTATTTAAACAAAGTGATGGTGTTGTTTGGCAAAACTGTGCTACATATCATCTTCAGCTCTGCAAACTGTTTAATCAAACATCTATTTGTATAACCAATATTGGGGAAAGGAGGAGGGGGTTAGTGGGAGGAAACTTAAAATTCATCATTTTACTTCAAATAGCCTAGTCATAGAGAAACCTTGAAGCCAAAGATGGTCTTGAAACTACCCACCCTTGGTGGGATTTATTCATTTACAACCCTTTTTTTTTGTCTTCATGTAACATAACAGAGTACATTCAACAACAGTCTGATCCTTACATCAGTTGTTTCTAAAGTGAATCCTCGAGGTTGCAAGCTCTGTGCTGTTGCTGCAGCATCTGTCAATTCTTGGTCTGGATCAGAATCTGCATTCTGCAGAATACAACAAAACAAATTCAGCCACTTGCATTTGCATAGTTGCTCAGCTGGCAATAGTTGGGCTCCATATGCAAAGAGAACCCTTTGTACAGAAAAGCATCTCTTTGATCATTTCTGCAAACCTAACATCTGAGGAGAAAACACACCTGTGATTCACTGGCTCCATCTTTCTCTTGTTGCACAAGGTATTCTGTCCCCTCAGTATCACTCAATTCTACAAGGAACAAAAATATCAACTATTAAAGGGACTGCTAACCTTGCAAAACTTACACTTCATGCCCACCTTCATCAGATGATTCTTGTGAACTCTCTTCTTCAGTCTGTAAATCTGTAGATTCATTCTCAGCAGCACTATACATCTTCATCAATTCCTCAATGGGCATCTCACCTGAGATGAGAAAATTTCCAGATGTTCTTATACAAAGACAGCAGAAGTACACGGATAAGATATTAAGTGCCTTGATGATAAATTGACACAGTGGAGCATAAAAATCAATAACGAAAAAGCCACACATGTCGCAATAATTGTATTGATTTTAACTCAGTTTAGCCCCAAACTTTCATCTTTTCCTCATTTCATGCATGAATAACACTAGGAAAAAGATACTTAAGTATCTAATCACTTTTTTTTCCCAAATAGTTATTTTTCACTTAATGGGAAGTTTCTCTGAGGGCAAAGTAAAAAATTGGAACAATGATTAAGATGAGTTTGATATTAATTTAAAGCTATATTGATATCATGTAGCTACCGACAGGAACCACTAACACGCGAGTTACAAAATGCTAATGGGTTTTATAGCAGCATTGAATTTTGGCCATGATTTGCAAAACCTAAGGCTTAGGAAATTCCTCAGGGAACAAGCAAATGGCCACTCAGAAAGCAACTTGTATAGCTTTGCTCATATAAAAACTTTTTAGAGCCCTGCACCCTCAATTTCTGGGATCAATGTCAGTACCTGAGCAACTGCACACCTACTCCTCCCCTAACCCAATAACAGTCAACTGATAGCAAGTTAGGGTAACTTTTGGGTCAGGGGAGGGATAGGTGAGCAGTTGTTCAGATACTGACATTGATCCAATTTCTGTGGCACAAGCCTTCAGACAGCTGTGTTTCTATTAAGACCAAGGGAATATATGTATACTTTCATAAGCTCCTGACAGTATGGGATACCTTCCTTCTGGAGATTATCAATTTCACTTTTGTGATCATCTCCTTCTTCCAGCTGTTCCTCCTCTTCTAATGTCTGTTCATCATCTTCTGTACCTCCTTCTGTCATCACAAAGTCTTCGTCAGCTTCAGCAACTTCTCCACTTCCACTAGCATTCCTATATATCATGGTTTCAAATTGAATAATGTCAAAAGAAGAGTTGAATATTCTTCACAACTCTTAATCTATTGACAGTATCTTACTGTATATTTGGGTTGAATACAAATTTGATGAAACAAAATCGGAGCAAGGGTTTCTGTGAGTGTAAAAGGGATGAATAAAAAGGATCTCTTTAGAAGCTGATGAGTAAAGGGAGTAATTTTCTAAAGAAAATATAGCACTGTGTTGGTGGAGATATTACAAGATAATTTGGTTAACCAACAGAGTTGATATTATAAATTGGCCACTGTAAAGAATTTATAAAGCTGATGTTTCAAGCATTAGCCCTTTGTCAGAGGTTGAAGGACTAAAGCTTGTCATCAATTCAGACAAAAAACAAAATCAACTCAGTTGTTAAACTAAACCAAAATATTTGAAGCTCCTTGCTGTCCTACTCTGCTCATCTTTGGTGGTTACACATTATAACACACATGTTGGCAATAACTTCTCCAAAACAAACGAAACACAACTACGAATATATCAGAGAAGACAACTTAACATGATGTATGGTAAGTTAGTATCAATTGCAGATTAAAAGTTTTACTTGATCTTTGTTGTATCCTGTTTTTCTTTAGGTTCTTCCTCTTCGTCGTTGTTCCCTTCAACATCCACTTCTACATCACTATCATCACTTTCTTTGCTGAAATTTTGGAATTCAAAATTGAAAAAAGGAATGTCAGCATGAGAGTACTACTGATTGATTGTGAGGCATGGTCATCCAGTTGAGAGTAGTCCTGAAAAAGACTGTTGTTGCTAGTAGTAACTGAAGTTTTGACAACTGAGTAAAAGACATTTTAAGAGTCAAATAAATCTTGAACTAACATATCCAAGATTTTGCGCCAGAGCAAGGGAGCTATTCATGCATAAGCACAAGGATATTTCATTCACTTCTCTTAAAGGACAAAAAAATTTAACTTGTAAAGGGAATCACTATCTGTCTGGAAAAAGAAGTGTTTCACAACTTACTTGTCACTCTTCATCTATCTTTTTATAATTCTCATGGCAAGCTACTTAATTTTTTTCTTGTTTTTCATAAGAATGCAATGAATCTCATCTGACTTATTTTTTACCTTGACCCCTCACTTTCATCCTCAGCCGATGAATCTTCACCGTCTTCAGAGCCATCTTCATCACTTCTCTCTTCTAACATTTCTGGTGGCAAGCTCTCCAGAAGTTTTTCCAGGGGAATCTCGCTTTCTTGTCTTAACAAGTCAAGCTCATTTTCTCTTGAGGCAGATTCTTCATGTGCCTCTTCAATTTCAATTGTTTCTTCATCATCATCAGCTTCCTTAGTAAGTTCAAATTCACTGTCACCACCTGTTTCAGGTTTGGATGAGACAGGGGAAGAGGGACCAGTGGACCCTCCAGAGGCATGACCACTGGATGGTGGAACAGCAAGACTCTCTGCTAACCAGGAAGAATATTTCTCTGTCTGATCTACAATGAAGTTTAGCTGTAGATCTAGAGCTTTCTTTCTGTTCTCCTCTAATCTGCTCTGAACCTTGTATTGAACCACCTTAAAGATAAAAATTTCACTTCAAAAAGTCTTCCCAAACATACCCTCCATCGGGAATAAGAAAACTCTTTGCTTGCCCTTTTTCTGGCTTGAAAAAACCAACAACAACAATGCTCTGCTATAAGATTGTATCATCTTCTTGTTTTTTTCCTTTTCTGAATTTGGATGTAAATGCAAAAGATATGCTCTACAGATGTAGCAAACATGAAAAAAATTATTTTCATTCCATGGTAATTTGAAAATGCATGGATTGTTAAAGGAAAATATGCTCAACCCCTGGAGAACCCTTAACACATCTCAATACAAAAGAGCTAAGAAAAAAACCTTTTCAACTGAACCCCAGAATTGCTTGATTTCTTTGGCAATGCTTGCTGCAATTTTTCGGAGACGGACAGATTCCTCCTTCTCTGCTTTCACTTCTTTGCTTCTCTGCTCCTGGTGGTATTTCAAGACTGCTCTGGACAGCTGTGAGAAGAGATGCTTATTTAAGTAGCAGTGGATAATGATTAGTGCAGAAATCGCCAATCACTGAAGTCCCACCCCAAATTTTTTACGCCCAAATCTAGGGGAAAAATCTTTGTTAAGGTATGATAGAACCTAATAAGATATGACAAATAAATTATTTCACTATCAAAAAGAAAGTTGCTGTAGAGCTTAATTTGTCATTCAAAGTACATTCTGAAGGTAGGTTACACTGTTGGTTTGATTTCCATCCAGATTAACCCTTCTCACTTATATAAAGTGGTAATATGGGAGTAAAAGGCTCCTGAGAGATGTTTGAGCAAGGGACAATGCTGAAATGCGAGCCAGAAGTAAAAAGCACAAACTTTAAGACTCAGGGACTCCATAAATTTTATACTAGGTGGGACTCCTGAAGATCTACAGTCTAGAAAAGCACACCTTCTTGCAAATGCCTCTTTTCCATCTTCTTTCTTGTAAAAAGTCAGTTGCCAGCCACTGCATTTCCTCCAAGAGATAATCCCAATGCGCTTTGCATCTTGTCATTTCCTGCACTTTAGGAAGGCGGGATAAAGCCCAGAGACCTTCCTTACGAAGTTCAGAAACTCTCTTGAGAACTTCAGCCTCCTTCTTAGCTTCAACTGCAATATCCTCTTGAGAGATAAATGAGTGTTGCTCAAGTACAGATGTTAAAGACTGACTTCTTGTGTTCAAAGTTGATTTTGCTCCATGAGAAAGCAAAGTAGGTCCATTAGCAATTGCTGGGTTAGAGACTCCTGCATGTGGTATATTTACACCTGGCGTATGATTAGGTGTTGGTGTAACATTTGTAGAGTCACTTCCAAAATGATTGCTACTATGGCCTTGTGTAATGTGTGGTTCTAATGGAGGATTTGGTAAAGATAGTGATCGTGAATATGGCGGAACTGAACTGCCCACATTCGACCTTGGAATAGGTTGGTTTCCAGTAAAAGGAGAAACATTAGGTGCAATTCCTTCAGTAACTGATAGCTGTGATTTGAAACTTGGATTTCCACTAAAATTACTGGGAACTGCTTTGCGTGGATCAAGACCTGCTTGCTCATAAACCTGTCTCTGTAGTGAGGTGTAGTTGGTTGCTCCAGGATTACTAGACTCAGATTGTTGTTGCGGCCACTTGAATAGCCTAGGTGACGCTGTCATTGGTGATAGTGTAGGATTTGTACCAGACGCATCATCTAAACGATTAGAATTAAAAAATGCTTGAAATGCTGGGTTTGGTCTTTTCTTCCACAACAAGAAATCCATCATATTTCCTCCATTTTGAAGAAAGCAGAGCTCTTGGAGTTTTTCACGATAATTAGCTTTTAATGTTTCAAGTTCTCCATTGTAATAACTAATGATAAACTGCCGCAATTTTGTCATTTCTGAAAACTCCCCTCCTAGCACAGTAGATTTTTCTCCTACTCTACTTGGAATTCCAAGAGTTCTACTAACATTCAGAGCAGCATGAGGATTCATAGAACCCTGGGGACTTGCCACAGACTGAGTTCGAGATGTTGCTGCACCAGGTGACAACTGATTTGGAAATGCTGCTGGACTCTGAAGTGTTGGGGTTCTGTGAGGGGTATTATATCCAAGATGGTGAATGGTTCCTCCAGGAGAGTGTCCGCCTCCACTGTAAACAAATTGCTGTTCTCTTGGGCTTGGAAAATCCGGAAATTTAGGTTCAGAGGAATACGGTATTGGAAAGTTTGGATCTGCAGGACTTAACTGTGACGTATCAGCTAAGCCAGGATAAAAGTCAGGAGTTTTTAACGTAGTGCCTCTTGGGCTTACTGAGCCTGGTCCATGAGAAAGAGTGTATGTAACACTACTGGGTGTTGCACAGGAGGGCGTAGCAGGAGGTGCTGAAGGAGAAGGTGCTGGAGATACATACATAGGAGATGAAGACGGGTAATGTGAAGGTGAAACTACAGAATGAGGAAATGGAGATCTTGGAGAGAGTTCTCCTGTTGATCCTACAGGTTGACTAAAACTTCTCTGGAAATGGTGAGGGAAATTTCGATGAGGACTAACAGGTTGAGTGGAGCGAGTTGGACTTGGAGCTGTTCCAGCCCCATGAGGTCCCATATAGTGGAATGACCTTTCCGAATATGGTGAGGTTGGTACATTTTCTGGCACGTTGCTGTGAAGTCTTTCCGAGTCGTGAGAAGGTGTCCTGCGAGCTTTTCTGCGCGGAGTTTCATCGTGATATTGCGACGATTCGCTCGTTCGTCGCATCATTTTAACTCCTTGAGGTGCTTGTTTGACATAATATTCCTATTCCTTAAGAGAGGTGGCAAAAAGATCCTGCAAGAGGAAATGCCATTTTATGTCAATTTCATACGAGGCAGAGCATGCGCGATTCTGCCGCCATATTGTTTTCCGTAACCGACAACGGCTAATGCTACATTTACAAAATTGGTGACCTTAACTAAACCATCCGCTTAAAATTTACCTACACCTTCCTCCATCATTAATGTTCTGATAATTCCATGTGGTTTTGGAGGCGTATTACGACCTCTTTCGTGTGAAAATTTTGAGAAATTGCCCTCTCAAGCCTCATAAAATTTTCCCTACAACGACAGGCTTGATATGCGCTATAGCAGTACACCACCCAAGTGCATTATGGGTGCATCATCATAAAGGAGGCTCGGTGGCAAGGCAATTACGCGCCAAAAAATGTCAATAACACGGAATAAATTTAGCGACGAAGAAATGTCTGACATAAATCTTGATTTCAAGCATCGATGTCTCAAAAAAACCTGATAAAAAATTTTTAAATTCAAGCTATGTTTACGAGTTAAAATTACGTAGCATCCCTAATCTCAAGCAAACCGAGAAGTAGTCAATGCACCAAAGTGAGGCTGCCTCTCAGTGGCGCGAAGGACGAATAATTTACAAACATAACAGTGTAAGTTCACGAAAATTTAGCGATAATTATGAGGCGTTCTGCCGCGCCTTCGGCGAGAGCTGCAAAGAAAATGAAGTTTTGTTCGCCGTTTAAAGCTCAAGACCAGGAGCCTTCCGTAGAAATCTCCACAACGCGTTCGGTTTTGCAGCAATCATACAAAAACCAGGTGAGCCAAGCAGCAACATGCCAAATTCAAACCATCTACATATAATTAAATTTTCTTCATTTTATGATGACTGTTTCAGTTGACTCAAAAGTTCTTGAAGATGAATTTTTTCCTCTCGGTTGTATCCTAGGTGACTATACCAGAGATCAGAGCTGAGGTCTCTAAATCCGACCTAAAGACTGCAAGCACGAATACCCTCTTACCAAGGTTTCCTAAAGATTTTACAGTTCAAAATAGGAAAGAAGTGAAATCTGACGATGAAATAAAAGATACCACCTCCACAGGTCTTTCATATCCTTCACTTAGCAGTAAAGTAGCACCTTTCAAACCTCAGAGATCTTCCAAACCAGGTTCTCATTTAGGTAAGTTTTAGAATTTATTGATTGTCATCATCAACCATAACAGGGAAGGTTTCGCCTTTAAGTCTTTCTTTTCTTTTTATTTTTAGTGCCATTTGAGGAAAAAGAGAATATTTGTCGATACTTCAGCGTTGTTTGGTTAGTTACAGATACAATTTATCAACATTTACATTAGTTGATTTTGTGATACAACATGCATTTTTTGCACATAAGTTTGTTATTAAGAAGCACTCCTTTATTAAAATTTGTCTTATCATTTTAGGGGAAAGATGTCCAAAAAGAAGGTACTTTGGCAATTTCTGACAACTTTGATTTTTGGTGATGTTTTTTTAACTATTTGCTATTCTGTTTTCTCTAATTCTTCATTTTGTATACTTTGATTATTTTTAGCACAAAAAGTGGGAAGGAGATGGTAAGAAAAAAGAGCGTTTTCAATATTTTTTTTATTTCCAGGTTGCCTCTCTGGCAAACTGAAGAAGAATAAAAAATTCAAAGGAAGAAGTAATTTTAGAGTTGTGGAATTTACTTATGATTGCAATATTCTAATATTGCAAATATCAAACCCACATTAGACAATCAAACACAATCACATTTTACAATGTTCCTATGGTCAGACTCTTCTTAAAATATTTTGGAAGAATAATTGACTATACAAGTTGTAGGAATGATTTTGATGACTATTATTTTTTTGGACTCTTAGGTATACTGGTTACAAGAGGACGGACAGCCTCCTTAAAAGACCTGGAAGGAAAAGAGTAGGTAGATGGAGAGGAATGCAAGGACACTTGGAATTTCTTATGCTGAGAAGGGACACTGAACCTTCTGCAACAGAGATATTAAGGTGTCAGTCACAAAAGAGTCTCACCCAAGCCCTCCACTGATCAAAAAAACAAACTTTTTTGTCTTCAGAATTGCAAAGAGTGCTGGTTACAAGTCATCAGAGTTGGAGTTGCTGCAAGAAGGAAACACACTGTGTATTGGTGGAAAAGAAATAGAGGTAATATTGGTTAAGTGTTGGAGCTTAATGGCCTGCATCTGCCAGTGCTTATCCACCGTTTCTGTACTGCTAAGTGTTGTACTCCTGGTTAAGTTAAAAAACACTTTATTAATGAGGATTATAAATCAAACTTTCTTGTTGATTTGATTTTTTCAATTTGTGAGGTGTTCTTTCAAACATAGAAATATTTCCAGTTGTTGCTTCTTTTTTTCCTAAGAAAGGCAACAAATAGAAATATGAATGTGTTCGTAAGCCATCTAGTATGTTGTCAGCTGTAGTTTTCACTTTTATTTCTTACTTAAGCTGATTTCTGGTCATCATGGGGTCTTTTTGTACTAATGTACTTTGCCTCTTTTGGTTGTGTGTCCTGCTGAATATGATGATTAGTCTGAGTTCTATTTCAGGTGATGGGTCTCATAAAAGCAGAGGATTACCTAAGTGGACAGTGCTTTCAACAATCAATAGTGTCGTCATTCCCAACAAAACCAATCTCTAGAATGCCTCCAAAAAAGACAGGTATGAAATTTTTAACCAAGTCAGCTTAATTCTCAGTGGGGTTGCTAGGCAACAACACTCATTGTTTTGAAGTTTTGATGGCACATGTTTTGAATAGCACATGGTGTGATGATAAACGTTCTGATCCCAAGAGGGACAAGCATCTAATTTCTCCTTACAATATCACCCCTGAATCAAACATTAAGGTCAGGAGAGTGAAGTGTATGATCACCAACTAAAGAAGCTCTTGATTGTTTAACAAATTCTCCTTGTCAGCAACTTAGGAAATGTATAGAGAACAGTATGGGTAATATGCTTACTGATGTTAGGTTGTAAAGGGCTAAGGTTTGTCTGTAAGCTTTACACATCCTCCCTTAGTTGGCACTGATCAGGTGTCAATGAGATTGTGGAGTTTTATCTCTATATTGAAGAAGCCATGAAAAGTTTAGTTGGGCAACTGTCTCTTTAAGTACCATGTACCCACTTTGATATCAATCTGGCATAGAGAGGAATTGTGTGTCTGGTAACGAAAAGTAGAAAAAGTGCTGGGGATCAGAAGACGTTGCATTCAAGTTTGAAAAAAACTCTCAGCGAGGAGAAACTCTCTTCGAAGAACCACGGAAGTTTGCAATCAGTCCCTTCATTTCCCAAAATTGGTGGGCGACGGATTGAAAAAAGTAAATGGTCGTGCTAAGCCACAGGCAGATTTTTCCCCCAAACATCGTTTCCAAAATAACTACTTTTTGCGAACGATCTGAACTAGAAAGAACCGGAAGCGGAAGTTACGGCAGTTACGGCAGGGACCGTGGGGGGGGGGGGTAGATCTCCTTTCCCCTCCACCTCCCCTCCTTTCTGACAACAGTGATTTGTTATAATTCTTTGTTGATGTTAGAAGATTACAGTCATTTTAGTTTTTGACTAGTCTTCGCTGCACAAACTCCAGCATATTACTTTACTCTCGAGTCGTCATCTGCCAACCGGATTATCTGGTACAACAGGGGAGAATAAACTCGCCAGAACACTGTTGTTGAAGTAAAGAAATGATCCTCCCAGGTGAGCAGAAAATAAAGAAACTGCAGATGAGAAGTACGGAAATTTTTTACTTAAATTCTGCGCTTTCCAGATACCAGCTAACTCCACTAACAACTGAGCTACGAAGCCACATGGTGTCTTCGAGATCGAGAAATTTTTATTATCGCTATTTTGTTTTCACAACGTAGGGGAAAAGTACCACGTAAAAGTTCTTTTCAAAAGCTTTCTTTTGACTAGTCAGAGAGGACAATTTTTTACAAAAAGTAGCACTCGTCAGGAAATGTTTGCATACTTCAAAAGAATTAGTCACCCACAAAACTAATGCTAGAAAGCTTAATTGACTCGAGATGAGCCGTTTAGCTTGTGGGAAATTGAATATCGCGTTACCAAGCTACACCATTCACCCCTAATTTACTTATCAACTGCTGTCTGAAAAAAATACTCCTAGAAAGATATGCAAGGTCCTCTGAGGTCATTTGCGTTATAAATCAACTGATAAAAATTTCGAATTGTAACGATCAATTTCTCACAAATTCGGTTACCTTAAACATTATTTCTCCCCCATAAGAATGGCTTTATTTTGTAGAGAAACAAAAATGACCTTGAAATTGTTATTCAGTAAAGTCGCATTTTCTTCAAAGTCTCGCCCAGACTTGTCGACTGAAGAATTTCCTCCAAATCCTTTTGATTTTTCTCGTCAACTTGTTTTCTTTTCGCTATCCAGTCATCTTTGGCTGCGAAACCTCGGTCGATCATCAATAGCTGCAGCCAGTCATAATCTGACAGAGCCTTCAGTTGAACGCCTTTCTCCACCAACTTTCTCAAACCAATGGCGTTATCCTCCGCGACTTTCTGCACGCGGACGTGAATATTATGCAGATGGGCGAAGCGAATCGACACACTAACACTATCGTTTTGCGCGAGCCAGCCGCAGATCTTCTCCGAGCACTCTCCGCACGGCGAAAAATTGCTAAGAAGCTGTAGATCGTGTAGGAAGCCCGTGAACGGGTGTTCTTCAAGTTCCACAATCGACTGCTTGAACGCGTGGGTCGATCCGCTCCTGTAAACCTTTCTTGAAAGGATTTTTCCGTCTCTTCCTCTCGCTACAGCAAGCACGACAACTTCTGACGGCCAAAAACCGCCTGGCACGCCAGACTTTAGAACGGCTGTCAAGTCGAAGTCTTCTGGAGTAGGACTGTGTGGTGTTATTGCAGAATTAGCCATGCTGACAAAAGTGAAAGTTGTATGTAAAGTTCAAATCGGTTTGTAATTCCGGCTGGTTATGTTCACGAGATTGGTAATTTTATACGACGCTGCCTATCACTTAATATGACATTAGGCCTCTTGGGTCAGTAAACGCTCGTTATTTCGAGCATCTCTAGTTTTTATTTATGAAGATGGCTTACTGTAATGTAATACCTATGGATGCTCTGACATCGATCTGGGCAGCTTATTATTATACCCTTGTTGTCTTTAGTAATTCAAGTTACAATGGATAGGGTAGGGTTTTCAAAACATTTCACTAGAGATAAATCGGTGAACACTCACGACGTGAAAGAAATCTTTTATCATCGACAAATCAGTCAAGCTCTCCTAACATGAAAAAAAAACCAAAACATTTCTACAATAAGCGAGATGTTTTTATGAAACCTCAAAAATTTCAACGATGAAAAAGACCGTAACTCGTTGTCAACATTAGAAGACACATTTCTGCTAATTTTGAATTATTATTCAGTAGGCTTATTAACTCTCAAGTGAAACTTCAAGGTCATATTTGTGCATACTAACTTTTGTTTACTTAAGCTGCGTTCTTTACTTTCGAAGCGCCTCGTTATTTTTTGCTTAGTGCGCTCTGTCTCCCGTTCACATCCGCATTCTATTTTGTTTTTTTTCGAAGGCCCGGCCAAACGCACGAAATACTTCAACGTAACATCTTGCAACATTACTGATTCATGTTGTGCAATGAAGTGAAGGAAGGAGCGCTGATATTGAAGATCTGCCCACAGGCTAGGCCGAGGCTTAACCCTTTACACCCTAACATCAGCATACACAATCTCCATACTGTTCTCTATACATTTCCTAAGGTGCTGACAAGGAGAATTTGTTTAACAATCAAGAGCTTCTTTAGTTGGTGATCATTTCCTTTATTCTCATGATCCTAAATAAATGATTCAGCAGTATTATTGTCAGGAGAAACTAGATGCTGGTCACTCTTAGGGTTTAAAGGCTTAACAAACAAATCACTATTTGACCAGACATGTAGTTGTGCTTTAAACAATCCGATTTGTTACAAAAGTCGTGCAATGCAACATAGACTCAACAATCAGGAGAGCATGTTATAATTCATCCAAGCAGAAGGAAAACCAAAATTCATTTAATTACCTAATGAATTGACCTATGAGCGTTTTTC